TCCTCCCTTCGGTGTATTTCTACAATCTATTAATATATTCAGCTTGTCCTATTTTTACAGTGAAATTAAAGAGCAACAGTATAGCCAGGTTTCAACAGCTTTTCAAATCATGAAAGAATCCAAATCGTATCCAAGTCAACCCAGAAAAAGAAGGACTACGGGGGCAGGCCTACCCCCATGCAGGTAGCCCTCGACTTGCAAAAGTTTGTTTGGTGGGTGCTCAAAGTTACAACAGCAATGAGAAAAGTGACTATATGACCGTTTTCTACACCACCTTTGCAACATCCCCGTGGGTCATATGATTAAAATACGGATGCTTGGCAAGTGACTCGAATTTATGATGAGGTCGTGTGATCACCTTTTGCGACCTTCTGATGGAGTACCCGGATTCACTTAACAACCATGTCAGGGGCTAAACCGCAATGATTCACTTAACAACTGTGGCAAGAAAGGTTATAAAACAGGGCAAAATTCATAACAAATGTTTTGCTTAGCAACATAAATTTTGGGCTCAACGGTAGTCGTAGGTCTGAGGACTATCTGTAAAGCAGGGAGATTCACCCTTTCTCTAATTTTCTGCCACATCTTCCTGTTCTCTTTCCCTCTGAAGAGCAGTTGGCGGAAGGACAAGTAATCCTTGCAAAGTCTGAACTGGTGCTCACCAAAACCTTCTGATATTACATGGAAGGAGGTTTGGCTGGAGGGCCAAAGACAATCCCCACTCAAAGTGCTTTTAATATAGTTTGGAATTAAACAGGCTTTAGGATATTAAAGTTATTTAATATTAAAATATTCCATTCTTATTAATGCTTCAGATGCCGATGGTCAAACAGGTTCTTGATGGTTTCAAAATGTGGAAGATGACAACATTCTGATTCACCAAAAGCAAAAAAAGAAATAGGAACACCCCACAATTAATTCTCAACTTTTCAAACACGCAATTTGGTATGTTAATGTGATACAGGTTTCTCTTATCTCTGAACAGAATGAGGGGTTTATACTCCAATCTATTCTTCTGTTATGCTTCCTATTAACCTTCTGTTTTAAGTCTCTTGGCTGATTTGCACAGGAAATAATTATAATTTTAAATTGGACTAACCTCTATGTTCCCCAGTTGATGTTAATCATAAGAGAAGAAAAAACCCCAAAATAAATTGCAGGTCAATATCAATGTTTCTGTTTCTTTTTAGAACTCTCCAGAAGAAGTCAAAATGATTAACCGTGATATTTGAAGCAATTTACATTAAGAAGGCATAAACTTTTTTCTATCCATTAACCTATATTTGTGAGATGGGTTGCTGCTGGTTTTGGACGAACCGGTAGTAGAAGCGGTGGGAGGCTCCGCCCACCTGCCCAGACGCTTCTGCGCATGTGCAAAAGTGTCGCACACGGGCAGGAGCACGCCCGGACCAGTAGTGAAAAAATTAGCAACCCTCCTCTGGATCAGGGGTTCCTAAACATTTGGCCATCACAATTCCCTTTAGTGTAATATCAATGCACACACACCTTCCCTAAGAATCCAAACACCAGAATGAGCACAAATGAACAATATCGTGGAATTAGTGAAAAGGTGAGCTTATTTGCAGCAATGTTAATGAAAAGGTTCTTCAGGCTTCCCCTGGACTCCGTATACACCTTCCCAAGATTGATGTAGCTCACGAATTCCCAACTTTTCCGGCTTTGCAGACCTAACCACCCTAACCACTGCGCCACCTCGGCTCCTTATTATTTAATAATAATATCTAAATAATAATATTTAGATATTGTTATTAAATAATATCTAAATATTATTTAAGAGCAAAGTAAACAGCTATAGAGACTACATCAAGGACTTTCTGTCCTATTTGTTGTTGTTTTTTTTTGGGGGGGGGGGAATGACCTAGAATTCGAATACAAACTAGAGCATGCCACAAACCCTCGGATAACTGGAGGGTATTGAAGTTTTGCCCTGTAAAAATACCACCTATGCTCCAAATAGCATGGAAGTTCTGATTTGTTTATATCTAGACCAAAGCATTTTTGAATCTGGGCTGCACAAGCAGCTGTTAAGGGTACTCTTCCTGCAAGAGAATAGCAGTTATAGCAGTTAGACTTATATACCGCTTCATAGGGCTTTCAGCCCTCTCTAAGCGGTTTACAGAGTCAGCATATC